AGGTGCTTGCTCAAACAACCTGCGGTCCCGCGATGCGGAGCCCGGCATCGCAGATGCCGGTATCATCGTCAGTGATGACTGCATGATGAATGTTGGACGAAGCGGTGTAACCGCAGGTTGTTTGAAAAGACAAACACTATTCGTTAGAATTGTGTTTTTCTATTGAAAAACAACCGGAGCGGTCGTTCTCCGGGCTATGTTTTGCAAGTCTGGCAGCGAATCGAGACATCTTGAGTCTGGCCTAAACGAATCGCTCAATCTTCGTAAAAATTTCAGGGTATGGGCTCCCGGAGGCGATCTACCTGATGGCACCGGTCGCTACTCGCTCAGAATTCTTTTGCTCGTGGCACGTGCGATTCCATTTTCCCCATGTTAAGTCAACGGGGTTTTGGACACTTTTTGCGCGATCGCGAATGGCGGGAAAACGAGCCAAGGAAGAGGTGGTTTTCTTCCCAGCATTTTATGGCAAACACGTTTGGGTACACGCCAGTGTGCGCTGTATACCCCTCAGAATCTCGGAACGTGTCTTTGCACGAGGTCAAAGTTGGAATTTTGCTGTGTCCCATGTTAAGTCAATGGACGGCGATGTCGAGACTTTGCAGAGACATTTTCATTCGATCTTTGTACAAAATTTTAGAGATAGATTTCGCCCAAACTCTTATATCTTGTAGAGAAAGGAGCATAGTACATGCTGGTATGCTTCGTTAAGCTGGCAGAAATCGTTTTTTCTAATAAAGTTCGTTTGAAAATGAAAATTTTTAACATGGAAAGTCAATGGGAGCGTCTTTGTTGCTCAATAACTTTTTACGTTGCAGATGTATCAAAGTGAAAAGTTAATAAAATATACAACTTTCGATGCTCTTTCCAACAATGTATAGAACGTCACTGCACGATGTGCCGTTTTTAAGAAAAGCTGTAAACAATCAGGGCTCGACTGTGACTTGAACCCAACCACATTAGAGTATACGAACAGGTGACGGGGATACCTCCCGTGTGCGGATGCGACACTGATTATTGCTAAACATTAGCAGTCGGCCGCCTGTGGGGTGCCTTTACAAACCTTATATCTCTGCAACCACTGGACCGATTCACTCGCGGTCTTTTGTGTGGGATAGCTTCTTCCTTTCTTACACGTAGTGTGCTGTTCTCGTTGCGTATGGGTGACCCCTAATGCACGTGCCACGTGCAAAACGAAGAGGTGTCAGTTCGGTAACAAGTCTAATAACTCTGTAGCTAGTTTGCCGATTGCGCTGATCCTTGGCATGGGGGTAGGCACCTGCCCCGCAATGCATTTCCATGTGTCACGGTTGGGGTGCCGCTGCACGTGCACACGGGCAGGGTGACGCTTCCAGATCTCGAGAACGGCTGGGCCGATTGTCCTCAAAGTTGGCACACCGTTAGGGCTCGACGAGTAGGGTGCCGTGCACAAGTCAGATGGGACCCAGTTTGCACGTGCGCACGTGCAGGCTGACGCTTCCATATCTCAAGAACGGCTGGACCGACTGTGCTCAAATTTAGAACTGTAAGCAAGTAGCACTTCTGCACCAGCCTGCATAAATCGTTCATGGATCTGTATATATTCAAAAGATGATACTGATAATACACTTTTATATCAGAAAGCCCGTATTATCATTACATTTTGATACTTCACATATGGTATCAGCAGAGCTACCTGGGAGGAGGGGGGTAATGGGGTTTAGGACGCCTCGGCGACAAAGGCCATTTGGGGCAAAGCTACCTCCACATCGACATATCTCACACATTTCGAAGTGTTTTATCAAATATGTGTGTCACAGGTTCGTTTTCGATCTTAGGCACTCTGAGCTGTTCGAATGGGGTATTGAATCTCGACAGTAGCCATCTATAAATTTCGAGCAGCATTTGACTTGAAGGTTTTGCCATTGATTCAGGGAAATCTCGTTTCATATCTTCAATGGAACTTGTAAATTGCTTGGGTAGATTTGGATTAACAGCTCCATGGAGCAGCGTTAACATCCATGTATAATGTCTAAAAGCGTGAGGCCATGTCGAAACAGAATGCTTCTTGCCGATATGATGACTGACACTGATGCCATATCAGCTCGTAGGTGTGGTGAGCCCCACGTCTGCGGTAGAGGAGCCCAACAGACGTCACTAAATGCATCTGCTCGGAGCAAATGCAAGATCGCTAAAATATAATGCCGTTCGTCGAAATTCTGTAAAATATGCCTTTTTGAGGAGCAAAAATGTGCGATAACTGTAGCACATTTTGACTGAATTTTCAACTCCAGCCCGGTGATGGGCGGAAGGGGGGGGGGGGGGCAGCCCGTTGACGGTACCGCACGCTGTGAGGCCGCCCGGCCGGGGGGCTCGGGCTGACCTAAGAGGCTGACTAAACTCCACTCATGCAAGCCGCAGGAGAGCGGGGGAGGGGGAGGGGGCGATATCGACCGTGCTCGCTAGCCCCGATTGTTATCTGAAACGACAAATACACTGCACTGTCGGGCGTCGGCGTCCAGACCACAGTGCGACTAGTGCGAGCCAGTCCACCATAGCCGTCGGTCATACAGTGAGTCGCGGTTCGTCAGTGTAGTGTGACACCATCTGAAAACTCCCCTGTCTTCACAACTTCATCACACGAGTGACACAAGTTTATCATGGACTAATCAAGTGATACAATCCATCATGGATCCTGAACACAAATGTTCGGCCTGCAGTGAGGAAGTGGGGTCGACATTCGGCTACCCGTGGGCGATCGAGCCGCTGCCGAACGACGAGCTGCTGCTGCTTCTGCAACGCCAGCTGCATGGCAGGAACGACAAGTACGCCTGTGCCGAGTTTAGGCAGATGATTGCCGAAGACGTCGTGAAGAGATGGATCGGGGATTTCAAGGTTGGAGACACAATCTTGCCTCGAACTGCTGACCTGAGAAGCGGAGTGCTGTTCCCCGAGCGTCATCGTCCACCTGGTACGACATGCACAGCGCTGGGACCTGCTATGTCCCTTAGCGAATGTCCCTGCCAGGACCTCGACAGATTGGTCATTCAGGGAATACATCCATCGGGAAGTAAAAGGGAGGGAAACGACGTACTACTGAACGGAAGAGATGATTGGTCAGATATTGACGTCATGATACGTCTCGGACCACTCCAAATCTTGGGCGAGGTCGACGCCTCGCCATCCAAGACTCACAGCACAGTACGACAGGCGCCGGACACCACCGACGCAGAATCATCGTCGTCGTCAGAAATCAACAGAGAAGATGACATCGACGCCGCTCGGCTGGAGCCGACCGACCATCCCGGTTTCGTGCTCCTCTATGTGCGTCCCCGTGCAGACTGTAGCCACAGCGAGTGGCTGCCGCTCTCGGGGGCCCACATCAAAACCAACATCCAGCTTATCGGAAACCGGGGCACGTCGAAGGCTGACACACGGTCTTCGGCCATTGGTCGTCTGACGAGCGCCGGTCCGTCGCTCGGCTCTAAGGAAGGCGGCATCGACGCCGACCTGGTGCCCTGTTTCAGCCTCCCTCGGTGGCCATGTGAGGAGTTCCGCCATCGACCGCGGCCCCATGGCCAGCCGGCGCCGGCGCTGGTAGAGCGACTCTGTCGCGTGGCCGCTATGGTGGTGGCGGTCGGATTCAAAGGAAGTGACACCGAGCGCGACCAGTGGAGGCTGTCCTTCTCCAAACACGAGTACATTCTGCTGCAGTCGCTGACGGAGCTCCAGCGCGACTGTCTCGTCGTGCTCAAATACTGCTGCGCCGTACTCTTCGAGCCGCACGGACCCATCAAGGGCGCCTACTTAAAGATGGCGCTCCTCTGGGAATGCGAGCAAACAGATCCAAATACGTGGGAAGAGGCAGGCCTTCGGTGTATGGTGTTCACAGTACTGGCTCGCCTCGAAGACTATGTGCATAAAGGGAACTTGCCGTGCTACTTCTGGTCCGACATCAACATGCTGGCTACGCGAGATGAGAAAGAACTGAAAAGACTTCGGGTCGCCATGAGAGGTCTGATCAACTATCTCTATACGGGCGCTGCCGAAGTCGTAGCCGCCCTCTCTTGGTACGGCGACAGCGGAGTCACCCATCCCAACCTCCCGTCGGGGGGGATCGAAGAGCACTGGCAGTTCGTGCTGCACAGAGACTCGTTAAGCAGGCTAGCGACACGAGAGGTAACTTGGCTGAAGAAAAACTTCATCAAACTGCTGGACAAGCAGGTGTCACCCATGGAACTAATGTACCAAAGAGTGCTGAAAGAGATATCCGACAACAGAGAGAAGCACCAAGGCCATGGCGCCGAACCCTTCAAAGACGACTGGCTGGAGGAGGAATGAAGAACAAAACGCGCCCTGGTGCCTAACAAAGCTGAATGCTGGGAGGATTTAGCAGCCTACCCCCGCAACGCCGAGCTAGGGAAGGACTTGGTTCGAGACGGGGAACTAGGCTGCCGCTGAGAAGGCTTAGCCTGCTTCGGAACACAACACATTAACACAACTGTCGCTTCATTTAATGAAGGCTCATCATGTGCTGAACTGCCATCAGCTATCTTACCCTCTCACGGAGGAAAACAATCCGCATCTTTTGATGCCTAACAAGGAAAAGCCAATATGCTTGTCTTTATGTGATTTTCGCTAAATACATTTCTAAAACGAACTCGTCTGCTTATTGATTGAGACCCGTAAGGCATTCAGGTTAAGGCTTTATAACGTTCCGATTACTGAGGTCATTTTGCGCCAAGGGCTTGACTGGATGTACGAGACAAAAACTGGAGCCCACTCTGTCTTTCCAGTGGATACCGATCTTCCATCTTGCACAAGAGAAACTGTCATAAGGCTTCGAGCGCAATGGAACAAAGCACATACCCCTCGACATGCTAAGGGCGCAAGATCAGCAATCCCATGTCTTTGTGTTTGTGAGTTGTGACGGCGCTATGGTTGTGCCTGTGACTGTGACTGACCTGTCGGGCAGCTGTCTCTGTGTCTGTGCCTGCGACTGACTGTGACTGACTGTGACTGACCTGCCGGGCAGCTGCGCCTGGAGCAGCTCCAGCAGTCCGGGTCGGCTGACCGGCAGGCCGTTCGCGTCCGTCTGCGGGACGGCAGGGACGACAGGCAGCAGGAGCGGCCCGGCTGTCTGGACGGTGCGCTGCTGAGCCACCTGTTCCAGGTACTGTTCGGCCTGGGCCGGGTCCACGGCGGCCATACCCTGAGAAAGGCGCCGCGTCAGAAAACACCCCGACCACCGGCGGCCCTACCCTGAGAGAGGCGTCACGTTAGACAACACCCACATACCTGACACGCAGACCCAGAGATATGGAGACTAGAGAGCCCCTGGCCCTAACGCCTATACATGGTGGACATTGTGTCATACCGAAACAAAGTCAGCTCATATCCCGACGCTAAGCTCTTACGGTACAGAAAAACGCAAGGAAAAACGAGCAAAGATCGTCCATTCACTAATTACGGAGGAAAGTGCGGGTTGATACGAAAAAAGAGCTGATAAACGTCAGCTCACACCCGATAAACAATCAATTAATATGGCAATGTCAACCACCCACACTCCCTGATGTACGCTGGCACGGACGAACGTTCACGAGTACCACAACACACAGCCATAACCTGGTCTATATATTCTCCGTCACATACCAGGCGGTTTTACTGTTTTGGGAAATATTTTTATTTTTATAGAGGTGACATCAAACTGGGAAATCGATAGACCAGCTGGGCAAAGTCCCGAACACTCAATTGTATATCAGTCAGTACTCAGTAGTCAGTAAAGAGGTCCCACCCATCCTGTCTCTTTCATCTCTCCCGTAACGTTTCAATACGTCCCGTCCCATCCCATCCCATCCCGTCCCGTCCCGTCCCGTCCCGTCCCGTCCCGTCCTGTCCCGTCCTGTCCCGTCCTGTCCCGTCCCGTCCTGTCCCGTCGCGTCGCGTCGCGTCGCGTCCCGTCGCGTCGCGTCGCGTCGCGTCCCGCCCCGTCCCGTCCCGTCCCGTCCCGTCCCGTCCCGTCCCGTCCCGTCCCGTCCCGTCCCGTCCCGTCCCGTCCCGTCCCGTCCCGTCCCGTCCCGTCCCGCCCCGCCCCGTCCCGTCCCGTCCCGTCCCGTCCCGTCCCGTCCCGTCCCGTCCCGTCCCGTCCCGTCCCGTCCCGTCCCGTCCCGTCCCGCCCCGTCCCGTCCCGTCGCGTCCCGTCGCGTCCCGTCGCGTCCCGCCCCGCCCCGTCCCGGCGCCGGCTGACTCACCTGGTAGACGGCCAGCTGCTGCGGTAGGGCGGCCACATGGAGCGGGTCGACGCCGGGCGCCGGCACCAGCGGCACGGCTGGGTCGCCCGGCGTGTACGGCTGCCAAGCGCCAGACGACGGCTCCCAGTAGTACCTGCGACGGCGGGAGAGCGTCAGATAACGGCCCGCCTGTCCGCCGCCACCGACACGGGACAGCGGTGGGAACGGAGGGCTGGCGGCAGCCGCGTCGGAGTATAGCTGGGGCATTCCACGTCAAATCGAACAAAAATCGGCTGTTTTGCACCTTACCATCAGCGATTTCATTATAAATTTGTGAGCGAGTTCCTGTGTGGCCCCGGACATTACATTGATGTTTTTTGCACATTCTGACCACAGGTCTTCTAAATATAGGGCATCAAATTTTTACAAAATGTTGCATCTTTATATTTTTGAACGACCATAACTTTGGTTGTACTTGTTTGATTTGAATGAAATAAACCTTACTGTTTAGGTTATTTCTTAAGCATTTGTTTAGAATTGCACCTACTTAAATATGTGACCTTGAAATTTGCTTAACTCTGTTCTTAAGCACAAATATTGAAATAGCAAAAAACACGTCACCTTCGATTTGGCTTATTTTCATATATTTTATTGCCTACCATATTCTTAACAACCTGTGAAAAAATTAGAGTGGGCCATTCATAAGTTTTGAAGAAAATTGCACATATGCAAACGTATGTTAGCACGCGCAGTGGAGGGGGAAGAGCGAATTTCGCCCACCCCTCCTGTTTTTCGCCAATATCTCATAAGATTAATGCGAAATTAATTATGGCTACCTGTCAAGAATTGAATTGGACATCTCATCGTGCAAGCAATAAGAAAATCGGTTCACAACTGTTCTAGTAATAGCGGTGTAAAGTGAACATCCTGTCGCCATAGCGACGCGGCTACTCGGCAGCCGGCGCCGACCGCTACGCGCCGCCTGAATTGTAGACTGTGCCGGGACGGAACGGAACGGTTCCGTCTTTACATCGCGCTCCTTACCGCTGATTACGTTCGATTCGCGTCAAATTTTGTGAGAAGACTAAGAAATGTACAGGCAATCTTATGGTGAAAGAATTTTGAAAATCGGTTGGTAAACAATTGAAATATGAACGTGTAAACACAAAATTGTGATTGCTGCGTTTCCCTCATCGGCCGAGCCCGCCTCAGCCGGCGACATGTTACTCTTAGCAGGCCTCTAACTGCCATATTTATTATTGGATTAACTAGAAATTCCCCATACATACTAAAAAAATGTATGTTCTTTCGTATAGTGAAGATCAAAAGCCGTGAAGATATCGTTGCGTGATAATGTTTTCGTTGAATTTACTTCATGATGCATTTCCACACGGCTCAAAATTCACCGCAAAATACCGTTTGCCTGAGACACTTTTACTATGGAACGTGAATGCTTGACTACGATGACTATGCATTTCCATTCTCGCAGAGTTTGGGATATCACTAATCAGCAATCATTCATTTCAGAAAGTGTACACAAGCAAGCATGTCTTGACTCTGTCTTTCAAGGTCACGCGCGGTTGCGTGATGTTGATGCATGAAAACGGCGTTTGCCGGGAAAGTTATGAATGGCCCACTCCAATTTTTTCACAGATGGTTAGGAACATTGTGACGGACATAATATGTAAAAATTACCCAAATCGAAGGTGACGTGTTTTTTGCTATTTAAATTTTTGTTTTAATTCAAGGTCAAATGCATTTCAAGGTCACTTCAGTTTAATTTTATAATTAAAAATCAAAGCCTTATCAATTGCCTATAAGACCCTGTCAATATCATTTTGATACCAGAAAAGGAACCAGAGTTATAGCCATTTAAAAAATTGATGTGTGGCATTTTTCGCTATATTCGATGACCTATATCTCAGCGATACGTTATCAAATTTCGAAAATATTATACGTAACTCAGTTTTGAACCATGCGCAGTCTGCCTACAAATTTTCAGAAAAATCGAAGGGGATGACGGATTTCGGTGTTTGATTTGACGTGGAATGCCCCAGCTACGACAGCGTTGGAATTTGAGTTGAGAGTGGTAAACCAGGTTCGAGTCCCTCCATTGCCCTTCATTTCTGTTTATGACGGGTAAGACAAGCGTTTTGTGAAAAAAATGGCGCAAAATGGAGGGCTACTAAGCGGATCGTACGGATATCTATTCGTACGGCAATGCTAAGTTTCTTCATTTCCAGCCCAAATGTTTCTCATTCAGAATTGCACGGATACACTGCACGCACCGGCCGCAGCCTGGCGGACCGCCGGTACTCACTGGTAGCTGGGGTCGAAGATGGGCGTCAGGTGCGGATCCAGGCCGAGCATGGCGCAGCGTTTCTCGTGTCCCCTCCAGAGCTGCTGCTGCTGCTGGCGCTGGCGCCGCTCCTCCTCCTCCCGCTGCACCTCCAGCATGAACAGCTGGCGACGCTCCTCCTTGGTCAGCCGGCTGTCCAGCAGCGGCCGGTACTTTTTCACGCGCACGTCGGGCTCCGGCGAGTCCCAGGCGCGCTTCCTCCGCTCTGGCGACCAGTCGTAGCCCTTCTTGGCGGCGGTCAGGCCGGGCCGCGGCTGCTGCTGCAGGTAAGTCTGGTAGCCGCGGTCTGCGCGCCGGGGGGAGGCGTGCGCGCGTGAGTGTAAGAAGGATGGAAGCATGGAACGATGGTGACAGTAACGGTTCGACACGTGCCTATTACACTGAGAGCGTTCGCAAGGAAACCAAAGGCAAGAAATATTAGTGAAATATTCCGAAGTACGGTATATAAATAATCGTACTCGGAAAGACAAGAAAAAACCTTTACATTACAAAACACATCTTTGATTCTATAACCGATATGCAATCAGCCTGACATAAAAAAAAACAGAACATTAATATACCATAACACCTACTACCCCTTGAACATTCCTCAGTCCCGAGCCAACACCAAGCGAGAGCCAGACAGTATAAACACCTACCACAGCAACACGTAAACACCGGCGCGGAAAAAAAAAAACATTAGGATGACGGGTTCTACCCCTCCGTCGTCTCCCAAAACCCAAACTGCCACCACCACCGCCGGGCTTTGTCCAGAACAGGCAGAGGACGGCATTTCACAAGAAATAGCCGAAATAAACTCGGGGTCTCAAACATCTCAGTGGCACCGGCCGCGCGGAGGTAGGTACTGACCGCGCCGGAGGTCGAGCAGACCACGGCGGTAGGGCGGTGGCCAGTGACGAGGTCGGACAGTGCGGGGGTCACACGGCCGGATCTGATCTGAGGAGGGGACGGACCGGGTACAGGGAGAACAGGACAGAGGATCGGAGGACGTAAGCACACATTGCAGCTAAGATACAGGGTCGGCAATATGTCAGGGTAAGGCAATGCACGTTTCATGAAAGCCGATCCAGAAAGAGCGCTGTCCAGTCGCAGAATATTGACATGGATGCCACAACCAATAAGACTATTTAGCCGGATAAATTATGCAGTAACGGATTTAGCATGCGTTGTGCACACACTAGGTACAGATTCGCCCTAAATAGTTGGTGTAGTGATGCGAGACATTCACGTTACGAAAAAAGGATTTTCAATCGCTACCGATCCCTGCCTGGCATGCATGGTGCAGGGTACGGAAGCGTGGGATAAAACAAGTACCGTCTATCGCAGGCCGATGCCGATCAGGTTTCCCCGGCCAGCCACATCACTCACCGGCCTCCTTTTCGTGTTCGCGCATGATTTCGACGCGCTCCTTCTTTGGTATCCGGAACACTTCCTGCAGACCCGACCAGGACTCGAGGAGACGGGACGCCAGCTCGGCCACCTGTACAGCATCGGTACAGCTAGTCAGCGACAGTCAGATAGACGGACAGAACATGGTGAGGGACACCTGAACGGACAGTTGCGAAAGTCAGAATACATGAAGTCAATGGCAGCTAGACTGACGGATGAACATCATCGAGGTAACCCCAGCGCATTCACTATGACGACTCAGCTGCCTACCAAATTTGGTAAGGTAGCGTCGTTTTAGGCTATCCACTATCTGAAGTTTGTGAACATGAACATACTCGAGATAACAAGAGAGCTTACCCGCTATAAGTCAGGGAACGGCGTTATGCTCTATAACTTCTTCAATCCCCATGCCTTCCCCACATTCTCTCCACCTTCCCACGTCTTATTCTCTCACCTTTCCGTGACCATCCTTATCTCATTCCTCACCTCTTTGGCCGCCGGGCAGTCCGCTCCTCCCGTCACAGTCGGCATCACCGGTCCGGAGACGGGAGTGTCCGAGCCGGACGCCGTGTCACTCGGAGTGCCGTCCTGATCGGGAGTGCAGGGGGTGGCCGGCTGGCCGGCGGCCGCCCACCGCTCCACAGCCGTCAGCACGCGGCTGTCCGTCAGACACGTCTTGTTGGGGATCGGCAGAGTGGCGAGCGTCTCCAGAACCTGGCGGCGAGGGCGGCGCGGGTATGAAGTGTGTGTGGGTCGTGCGACGAAGGGGAGCTATCTGGTGAAGATAGTGGCTGTAGAATGCAGATAGTGAGCTATCAAGTAGTTAGTGCGGATTGTGACTAGATAACCAGCAAATCAGTATCATAGCGCGTGAAGACGAATGATGGTATAAAACTATTGTCAAACCCATTTTTTTTTTGGGGGGGGGGGGAATCTAATAGAACTAAGCAAGGAATCCCCAAACGCAGCTCGTGATCAATCGTAATTCTATTCCGACGCCATTATTGCCCGTTACCTTTCGCCGGAACCTGTAGACCTCGTCGTCGTTGGTCCCCTGCGGGGCCGGCGCGCTGGCCATCCAGCTCCAGAGCAGACGCAGCCCGTGGTAGTCCAGGAACAGGCGTCTGCGGTGGGGGCGAGACGGGCGGGAGGCTTAAGACTAACGGAGGGATTTTGCGTTTTCGTTAAGTGTCGTTTGTGACATCAAGTGATGGGGAGGGGTGGCGCCGTGTGGAAAGAGTTAGGCGAGTTATTCCTGCAAATGAATCCTGAGGCTTACGTCATCATCTAACAAAGCGTTTGTAATTATTGATGCGCGCGTCCACTACCGTGTTATGGCACACTTATTCTTTCCGTTTCCGTGGCAAAGCAGCAATCAAGATAAACACACTGAATCATATGGTAGCAAAACGCTGTCATGTGCCCCATCCCCACTGACCCGCGCCGAGCGATCACTACCTCACCCCTTCCCCTCCCATCGCCCGTCAGCGTCAGCTCCGTCCCTCTGGCGTCAGACCGCATTGGCACGGTCGATTCCAAGTCATATTACGTGCCTTCCGCGGGCGACCCCGCACCTTATGGCCCCACGCTCCGTGAACCGGCAAACGCCAATGAAAACCAGACATGCTGGGTATTGGTACGGCGAGACTGCATCCAGATGGGTAGCGGATCTCCTGTCGTTCACCGTTTCAGTATCGCGACATACCTTTCCATTTCGCCCCCCCCCCCCCCTCATATTCTTCTCTTCTAATAACCATTTGCAATCCAATCCTCTTCCATTTATCGAAACTGCTCGATCTCGAACAATTCTGTCCTACCCGCCATCCTTCCACTCCTATTCCTTCCGTTCTCGTCCCTTCCGCTCCCGTTCGGCGGCACCGTCTCACCCCTACACGTTCCGCTCCGCTCTGCTCCATTCCGTTCCGGTTCCGTTCCTACTGACCTGCAGGGCTGGTCGGCGGTGCGAATCAGTTCCAGCAGCGTCAGACGCTCCGCCTCGCCCTCGGCGCGCACCATCAGACGGGACAGCTCGAGCGTGTGCTGCTTCGACTTCAGACCCGACGACACCAGCTTGTTGATCTCGATCTCCAGCTATCGGGTGACGAGGAAAGAACGACGTCAGGGCGAGCTCACGAAGTCATACACAGAAACATAACACATATGTGCCGCGAATGCATTGTAATGGTGCCAGTAGACTAACTATCAACAGAGATCATAAGGAAATCTACCGAAAAAGCTACGTACTATCGGTACAACATTAACATGCGAGAAACATCGGTTAAGCATCTGAATTACGCAGGCATCTCAGCTTCAATTGAACTAAAACATCCCGATCCGACTCTTCTGATTCCCGATCTACCAGCACAGCGGTTCGTCGCTGAGCCAGCCACTCCACTCGCCCCCCCCCCCCCCCCGCCCTATGACACCGCTTGATTACCATATCGTGCGACGCCGGCCGTATTCACCTGCGCGATAGGAACGCGGCAGACCCAACGCCAACGCGCCCTCTACAGCCCCGCGTCAGTGTCGGCTGCCGTCGCAGTGCCACGGTCCACGGTCACACTGCCGCGGTACTCTTCCCTCGTGGTTCCCTTGTATTTTATCAATATTCTTCCCCGACAGGCCCGGATAAATTACCCTCTAATTTTCAGAAATTTACACCGGATGATTCTGTAGGCGGTTCTGTGCGCTCTCATTGCGTGACGCCACAAACCTTCCCGAGTTTTTTTTTGGTATAATCCTAATGGCATATTTCTTTTCCAGCTTGCCCTCCCGTTCCTCTTCCCCACACTCCCGTTTCTCTCCTCCCTCCCCATCCTCCCTCCATCTTCTCCCCCGGGTCACTCACATCACGCCGCTCGGCGTCGCGGCGCTGTTTGGCCTGTTTGGTGACCTTGGGAGGACGCGGCTCGGCCGCCGGCTGGCCCGGCTGGCTCTCGGCCGCGCCCGGCTGCTCGGGCGCCGCCGCCTCGGCCGCCACAGCCGGCACAGAGGACGGAGGGGCGTCCTCGGCGCCCGGGAGCGGCTCCTCGCGCGGCTCCTCCTCCTCCTCTTCCTCCTCGCTGGAGGTGTCGTCCGTCTTCTCTCCGATCCAGCCGCGGCAGATGTCGGAGCCGCAGAAACACTTTTGCGCCTCCTTACCGTACCTGGGACACCGAGACAGAACATGCAGTTGGATGGACGGATGGACGGCAGGTCAGATGGGACGTATGGACGGCTGGATGGACATGCAAACGGCCGGCTGGATGGACGCATGAACGGTTGGATAGACGGAACGAAACGTGAAGGGACGGGATGCGACGAAACTGGATAGTTTTTGGATGATGGATGTCCGGATCGTATTACGATAACTTCTCGGCAGGCCCAAAACCATAATGCTTGATAGCTCTGATCGGGAATGGGCATCGGATTTGGATGACTAGGTGTGTAGATTTGACGATTTGGCTAAGAGTTACTGACTCAAAAATCATTCAATTTAAAATCGACCATAACGCATGGCAGGTGCAAATCCACCGGTTACTCAGACCGTTCGTCGGACCGGCCTCTGTATCAGTGTGCCACCCCTCCGCCTGTAACACTCTCACTGACCTCTGGAGCTAAAGGTAGCCACCCCTACCGATGACACAGAGTACCATGATCTCACTGACCACTGGAGCTATAGGTAACCACCCCCACCGATGACACAGAGTACCATGACCTCTGACTGACCTCTGGAGCTGGTAGTCGAACGTGATCTCCTCCCCCGCCGAGACCGGCCGCCGGGTGAAGAAGCCGATCCGCAACTCACCATTGACCGTCCACTGACGGTGGACACCGCCGCGTCAGACCCAAAACACACAACGTCACGGACAACTGATAATTCAATCTGAAATTTGATACGACTAAAGCACGGAACTTTGTCGTGGAGGTTGGGTGTTGGGTTGGAATGCCTTCATCACGATTTGAACTACATTTCAAACGCTGGCTACGACTCACCATTCCTAGCGCTAGCTCTAGGCCTCGTGTAACGCACAATGACAAAATCCATAAAAAAACTACGATCTCGCTCACCTTTTGCGTCTCGGAGTTTGGATCGCAACTGTGGTTGATGAAGCGCGACGCGTTGCCCTTCTCTGTGGCGTCGATGATGGCATCCGCCTTGAGCGCCATAAAGTAGTAGTGGTGGTACTTAAGTCGGTCGTACTCCTTCGTACGACGCTTGAACTCCTCAGAGTCCAACACCTGAGGAATAATGACATCGCATCAGCGAGTTCTAGCACACAAAGAGCACGTAAAAAACGGAAAGGCAATGGGTCTGTTCCTTTGGCTCCTCAGAAAAAAGATGAGAGGAGCTTTGAGGAGGTTGGAGGAGGCCGTATTTCGTCCCGATTTCGGTGACCACTGGAACGCAGTTCGGAGGAGGTATCAGCTGTTTGTGGAAAGAAAATGTTTACAATCCTGGCGTATTTCACTCAAGCTCACGTCTGACATAGTAGACAAAAAATAAAATTCGGAATAAAATTCGTTCGAATATCGGCTAACTTGCCTAATTTCATCCGATAATTACGCACACCGATAACTAGGCAGCACGGTGCTTCTGTTTTGTATTTGCCGCGCCATTTGTGTCGTCCATAGCCTCCTCAGAAAAACCACCTTTCATTTCGAAGCAGGTTAGAGGAGGTTTGAGGCGAGTTTCAGAGGAGCTTTGAGGAGGTTGGAGGAGCCACTGGAACGATTTCATGAGCTTTGAGGAGCTTTGAGGAGGTTAGAGGAGCCAATGGAACAGGCCCAATATGATACACTAACGCATCACACGCTGATGCTGATGCCAAAAGAAAAGAAAAACACATAAAATACATCACGGCGATAAATCATGCAGCGCACAAATGTAGCACCTGGCGAGATTGAATCAATTCACAGTCCGGAGCAATATGGCATCTGAGAAAAAAAACATCGCGAGCGCCGCCGCCGAGCTGAACCCACCTCTCCGACGTACTCGTAGATGAAGGCGTTCTCGGGCATATCCACATCGGCGCGCAGACCGTAGCCCTTCAGCTCCGTCTTGAACACGCTGGTCGGGTGGATCTCCTTCTTGGTGAAGCGCTTGTTGGAGCACCGGTCGCCCAGCGGACAGCGGGTACCACTGCAGGCCGGAGCAATTCAGATGTCACTCAGTCGGCTTGGGAGCTTCATCATTCATATTCCACACGTTACCAAGAGGTTACTCATATATGGAAAGACTGACGAATGATTACATACGGTTAGGCTACTATTGGTCATTCGTAGTCCAAATAAGTCAGCAAGAAGTGCCAACTTTGACAGAAATAATCGTCTGAACAGGTTGTCAATTTCAATCCATTATAAATCGCATTGAGTTGTTTGTCGCTCCCGGATTTCTTACCATTCGATCATGAGCAGCCGGTTCAGGCAGTCCTCTCCGCAGCCCATGTCGCCCCGCTCTATCTCCTCTGGAGAGAGGTAGCAGTCGCACACCATGTGGCGCGCCTCCTTCTGCTGCTTCGTCAGCTTCTGCTTCTTCAGCCAGATCGAGTCTGAGATCGTCTGTGAGGGAGCGGCGGGGCGAACCCAGGGCGGTGAGAGCAGCCTGACCAGCATGCATGTACTCGGATAGCGGAAACAAAGTCGATGATTGTTTATGTAATATGTAGTTACATGCTCGAATATAAATGTTCCGAATCACGATTTATCAGAAACTCTGCGGGAAATCTCATTTTTAGATTTAAAAGCTCTGTCATATAAAGTTGCATTTTTTTAACGAACCAAACAAGAAAGAAAACTTTGGACGATAGTCAAGGCATATGTACAATTAGCACAGGCTCCTAGCATAGCAATGCAGTCTCCTCATTGTCAATCGCGCTTACCTTGAATTTCCTGAGCTTGTTGATATCCTTGTCTTTGATTGCGTCCACCCTGCTATCCTTCACTTTCCCGTCTCCTTTCGCGGCCTGTTGGCGGCCGGGCGTGCCGTCCGGACCCTGTGCGGGCGGCAGGGGAATGTCCAGTGGACCCGGCGCGGTCGCCCCTGAGCCACTGTCGTCCGCCGACTGTCCGCGCCGGTCCGCCTGACCCGCCGCCGCCGCCGCCGCCTTCCCTCCGGCCGGGGAGCGCTTCGGCGAGCTGGGACTGCCAGAGGACAGCCGCTCGAGGAACTTTGTCTTTGGTTTGGTGGCGCGCGCGGTGCCTGCAGCTGCCTTGTCGGCCGGCGGTGTGGCGCCGGACTTGACTCCCTTCCCTGTAGGCGGAGCAGCGGTCCCGTCTGAAGGAGACTCGAGCTGCGCCGCCGCGGCAGCGGACTTTGCCCTCGCCGCCGGTGACTTTCCGGACTTTCCCGCGGCCTTCTCTTGCGCAGTCTTGGTCACCTTGCCTGCTTTGCTCGGTCTCGGCTTGGTCACCTTATTCTGCGGACTCTTGCCCGGCTGCGCGGCAGCTTTGGTGACCGTCCCCGTTCCAGCAGCGGCCACCGACACTACACCAGTCTCCGCGCCGGGCCGGCGGATCAGCGCGTCAGAGCGCACCATCAGAGGTTGCGAGGAACGGATGACGGCGCCTCGGGACGCCACCGCCAGCTGCGACTGGGCCACAATGGGCAGCCTGCCGCCGAGTCCGCGCAGCGCCTGCAGCCCTCCCGGCGGCAGAAGCACGGTCCGGCCCGGGCCGACCAGCACGGTCCGCGCCGCGCCGGCGCCCGCCGCCGGACCGACCGGCCGCGGCGGCTTCCGAGCGCTGTAACTGATCACGGGCCGCAACGGCGCCGCCGTCTCGTCTGTCGAGCCGCGCCGATGCGGGCTGGCGCCGTCGGCTACCTCACCGCCTGACTGGGCCTCTGCAGGCGGCCCCTCGTCCTCGTCAAACATACCCATGAACGGCGACGCGCGGTCACCACTCTCAACTGAGCAGTTACGACGCGCGGCGGGTTCACCTTCACTCTGCGCGGGCGCGCGAGTCCCCGGCTCGCGTCCGGTACCCTCATCTTCCGAGCCGTCCGGGGTCGATATCTCCATATCCGTCGGTGCGGAGGGCAGCGGCGGCGCGACCGAATCCCCAGGCAGCGGGATATCACACACGGCCGCCGCTCGCTCTGCGTCACTTTTCGACACGGTGCGCATCTCGACATCACCCTGATACAGACCGGTATCACCAATAGATCCGCGCCTAGTCGAGCCGCCGCGGCGCTTCGCCGACGAGTCGCTCACCTCCAGCGACTTCAGTTTCTTATCCAGCGTTGTCGGCGACGTTGAACCCTTCTCACGCACCTCCAGCGGTGACGACGGCCGCGGGATATCATCCAGAGACGCTGACGACAGCCGGCGACCCCCCGACGGCGGTCTATCGGCATCTTCCGTCGGCGTCGGCGTGACGGCGTCGCTCTCAGCAGACCCCGACTCGCCTTCGATGGACGGCGGTTTCACGGGTCGGCCAAGGCTCGGCGGCAGCGGCCAGAACTCTGACAGGTCGTCGTCGTCGTCAGAGTAGGCGATCAGGGGACTGCGGGCGCCGTCCTCCGACATAGGAGACGGAGCCGGCTCGTCCTCCACCGAGGGAGGCTCTTCAGCCGGCGGCGCTGGCTCGCCCTCCACCGAGGCTGGCTCTTCAGCCGGCGGCACTGGCTCTCCCTCCGCCGAGGCAGGCTCTTTAGCCGGCGGCGGCGGCGAGGAGACCTCCGTTGACTGAGCATCTGGAGCCGGTGGACGGTCATTAGAGACTGACAGAGAATGGGAAGACGGAGTATATGGCAGTGGTGGGAGGTCGTCTGAGAGAACCAGAGTACGGGACGAAGGATCGTCTGGCGGCGGCGGTTGTGGTGAACAGGATGGACAGGAAGCCGTTACCTCCTTGGCTGGCGGCTCCGGGGAGGACATTTCTTGTCGCACTGGTGAAGAAGAGTCTCGACGGTCAGGCGGTAGCGAAGATACAGTAGTCACATCAGTCGGCACTGGGGGTGGTTCAGGTTCTTCCATCGTTACAGCGGTGATATCCTCCTTCGGCGGAGAGGAAGGCGGGCAGTCTGTATCCATTGAGAGATCTGAAGACGCCATCGGATGATCAGCAACTGAAGAAGGCGGAAGCGGAGAAGAGCGTTTCTCCGCGAGAGACGATTGAGACACAACATCTGCACTCTCCTCAGCTGGGGACGGTGCGTGCACGGAAGACAAACTGGGCTCCTCACTGTGCTGAGGTGAAGTTTCACTACCGACGTCCACCAAAGGCGACGACGCCATCTTCTCCGGTGGCGGCGACGGTATCTGACCGACGTCAATCGGTGGTGACGGCATCGGCGTGACTTCTGCCGTCGGAGGCGAAGGCGGTGACGTCACATCCACTGTCGGAGACGACGACGTCGGTCGGTCCAACTCGATTGGCGGCGACGGCATTGGCGTCACTTCCGCCATCGGTGACGGCGCGCTCCCCAGGTCCACCGGCGGGGACGGCATGGGCGTTTGCTCGACAGGAGATGGCAACGATAAGGATATCGCTTCTGCTGGAGGTGGCGAAGGTTCGCGCTCGGCGCTCGCAGCGACACCTACCGGTGACATTTCTCTCACCGGCGAGGTCCCGCCAGGAGCGGAGCTGACCACGTTCTCAGGGCCTGTAGACGCCTCCATGGGCTCCGGGGTGTCCGTGCCGGCGCCCGGGCGGGCCGCCAGAGTTGTCAGCGGCGCCGGCGGCCGACTGTCCTCCGAGTCAGACGCCTTGGACACCATCGGCGGCAGGCTACACGCGTTCTCGTCGACATCCGGCGGTGGCACTGGCGACGGCAGCGGACTCCGGGAGTCCGGCGCATCCACAGCCGGACTCCGAGAGTCCAGTGCATCCAAAGCCGGACTGCGAGAGTCCAGCGCCCCGTCCAGCACATCCACTGCCGGACTCCGAGAGTCCAGGGCGTCTGCAGCCGTACTGCGAGAGTCCAGCACATCCACTGCCGGACTCCGAGAGTCCAGAGCGTCCGCAGCCGTACTGCGAGAGTCCAGTGCATCCACTGCCGGACTCCGAGAGTCCAGCGCCCGATCCAGCGCATCAGCTACGAGACGGTGCGAGTCCTGCGTCTCAGCTGCCGGACTTCGAGAATCCAGCACATCAATAGCCGGACTACCTGAGTTCTGGACGTCCAACGACGGACTCCGCGTGTCCACCACCTCCACAGCTGGACTCCTGGAGTCCAAAAGGTCGACTGTTGAATTATGCGAGTCGTGCTCCTCGGGACTTTGATGGTTGACTACATTCACAACCGGGTTATGCGGAACCACTGGAGTCGGACTTTGCGAGTTCATTACATCCACAGCGGGACTGGACGAGTCCTGAGCATCCACGACGGGACTCTGGGAGTCCATCACGTCCACCGCCGGACTGCTAGAGTTCATCACATCAATCACTGGACTCCGTGACGGACTCGGCGAGTCCATCGCGTCCACACGCGCAATTCCACCGTTCACAGCACCAATAATCGGAGTTGCACGATCGTCTACCTCTAGTTCATCAGGAGGCGACTCCGCCGCCGGCATCTCATGATCGCTTGTTCCTTCGGCTTGATTTAGTGACGCTTCACAGTCCATCGGCTCCTGTCGGTCCTCTAAAACACTACTCGGTGAGCCCGAAGGCGCTGCCGAGACGTGCGGCGCGACAGAATCGTTCTCCTGTGCCTCTCCCTTTGCAGTTCGTTGCTCCGACGCACTAGCACAACTCATATCATTATCTCCCAGAGTGCTGTCCAAATCCATTGAGTCACCGAGCGACTGTCCGGGCGCGTGCGGATCACGAAACTGCACGAGCGAATCAGGAGAACTGGCTCTGCTGTCGGCGCGGCTGCCAGGGTGTTCCATTCTCTCCTCACCCTCCCTGTTGTTCTCTCGATCATCATCATGTTCAACGTCTACGACAGCACCTTCGTCACCGACTTTCTGTCCGTCTCGCTGCTCGTCTAGCTCGGCGTCGGGTTCTGAAGTCGGCGGTAGCTGACTCGATGTCTCACTCTCGTAGTGAATTCCATCGGCCACTCGCTCGGCCGCCGGGTCGCCGGGTGGCGCGGCGCCCCGGTCCGTCACGTCCGCCGACACGCTGTCCGACATCAGACTGTTCTCCTCCGACACCGGGCCGACGCTGGACGGCGCAGACATGTCGGAACTCTCCGGGTCTGACACGACGGCCGCCGGCAGCGGCAGTTCCGTGCGGGTCAGCCGCACTGTGCAGAGCGACAGAGAGTGGGGGTGCTGCAGCTTGTCCTTGGAGTCGGCGACTGGCAGACCGTTCACATCAGGACCCGCTGGTTCCTGGTCGGCCGAGTCCGGCGGCGGCTCGGACCTGCGCCGCCCCCGGCTGACGCGATCGGTCGCGGGGGCGCTGCGGGTGCGCCGACCGCCCCGCGTCGACAGGCGTGTGGTAGCGGGAGGCGCCGGCGCCGGCGGCGGCGGCGGTGGCGGCGGCGGAGGGGGCGCCGGTTCCGATGGCGCCGCCGCAGCCGGGGAGGGCGTCGACTCCACGCGACCGTTAGTGATGGGCATCAAACGCTTGTTGGGCATCCTCTGGCGCCGTGAGACGCGGCGCCCCGCGTCGGTGGACGTTGGTTCCGGCAGGGTGTCTGGTGTCTCTGGAGCAGCGTCAGCTGACTCACTGCGCCGCGGTCTGCCCCGTCGAGCTGTTTCGGGGGGCGGCACGGTGTACGGTGTCTCGGAGGTATCCTCAGTCGGCTGGACGCGCCGCACCCTGCCCCGTCGAGCTGTTTCGGGAGACGATGCTCCTGATACGTTGACCGGCGTCTCGGGGGTATCCTCAGCTGGCTGGACGCGCCGCGGTCTGCCCCGTCGAGGCGGCGAGGTGGAGTCCAGGGAGACAGAGCTGCGGGCGCCGCGCGAGCCCCGTCCCCGGGAGCCGCGTATGGCGCCAGGAGCAGCCGCACTCCTCACCATGCTGGTGTGTGGTGAGCCTCAATCTGAAACAGAAAATAGTTCCAGCTGCCGCCCACAGAACACAGACAGATGCATGACATATAAACAACCAGGAGTACATAAACAAATCAGGTTACAGTAGCACTATTGATAGCTTCAAAATTATGTATACAGTAAAACAGCATTGATGATTCCAAAAGTATGGATTAACACTCATTTCCCTGAAGTTTAGAACAGGCATCAATTTAAGATGTTTAAACCTTGTTTTGAAATTAAAGTTGAATTGTATAGCTAAGTTTTATTCTGTTCCATACAAATTCATGCTATCATTTTATTTCTATTCATCACCAGCATTGATATATATCTAACACTCCCTGAGACCTGAGAGCAAAAGCTCACAAACTGGAAAATTCATCGTTGACAATTCTCTTTCAGTTTCTGATATTTCTCATAGTTTACATCAAGTTAGCTGTACTTTTGAATACAAGAATAAAATACCTACATCTATGGGTATTATGATAGCAGGCGTCTCACATGCTGCCACCGGTTTGGGAAAAGTCGCTAGATTCGTCAGGTCTAGAGATATTTATACCAAGCCGCTATAAAGGGTAATCACATAGCGGTGATTTCAAAAACGGAGTCAGTTTTTTTCTGAGCTGGCGGGGGGGGGGCGCTTGGGGGGGATTACCCCCCCTTGCCGATAGCTCGGGAACGGCTGATCGGAGCCAGGCTTGCAAGGCGGCGTTGGAAAGCGGTCGAGTAGACAAGCCTAATTAGTAATGCAAACTATCATCGGGATACTAGGGGGGGGCGTAGGGGGGGATTGCCCCCCTTGCCGATAGCTCGGGAACGGCTGATCGGAGCCAGGCTTGCAAGGCGGCGTTGGAAAGCGGTCGAGTAGACAAGCCTAATTAGTAATGCAAACTATCATCGGGATACTGGAGTCATGGCTCCGATCAGCCGTTCCCGAGCTATCGGCAAGGGGGGCAATGCCCCCTACGCCCCCCCCCCAGTATCCCGATGAAAGTTTGCATTACTAATTAGGCTTGTCTACTCGACCGCTTTCCAACGCCGCCTTGCAAGCCTGGCTCCGATCAGCCGTTCCGGAGCTATCGGCAAGGGGGGCAATTCCCCCTACGCCCCCCCCCAGTATCCCGATATTAGGCTTGTCTACTCGACCGCTTTCCAACGCCGCCTTGCAAGCCTGGCTCCGATCAGCCGTTCCCGAGCTATCGGCAAGGGGGCAATCCCCCCCTACGCCCCCCCAGTATCCCGATGATAGTTTGCATTACTAATTAGGCTTGTCTACTCGACCGCTTTCCAACGCCGCCTTGCAAGCCTGGCTCCGTTCAGCCGTTCCCGAGCTATCGGCAAGGGGGCAATCCCCCCCAAACGCCCCCCCGCCAGCTCAGAAAAAACTGACTCCGTTTTTGAAATCACCGCTATGTGATTACCCTATATAGCGAGTTGGTAGAAATATCTCTAGACCTGACGAATCTAGCGACTTTTCCCAAACCGGTGGCAGCATGTGAGACGCCTGCTATAACAATACCCATCTATGATCTGTTTATGCTATCTATGTGGAAAAGGTAAAAGGCCAAAAGTTATGATGTTTCAATAAACAGCCTTTCATCAAAAAGTTAACAAGACAAAAATAAAGTAATACAATCTTTAGTTATCTAGATATCACAAAACAATACAAGCATCCAAGACATTCTCGTAAATTTAACAATTTTGTTACACAGCTTGAGAGAAGGTGCCGATGGTATAGCCTGACATATATGCAATTAGTTCATGTGAAAAATATTGTAAGAAATTTTAGTTTATCATGCTTTGCCTGCAAGAGCTGAGAGTGCCCTTTCATTATAATGCCTTATTTTTCAAATCGATGCAGGATTAGGAGTGGGGAATTCATCACCTGCAGGCTGCAACATGTGTAGGATTTAGCACTGTCCTATCATACTTTCATGTAAAAAACTGAAGTATCACCCTCCATCCTGATCCCAGACCTCGGAGCTAATGGAAGTTGGAAACCAATGCAACAAGATATTTCAGTTGTACTGTAAATAAATACAATCAGAAGTCAGAAAACAAATATTAAATACATACTTACTTATTTACTTTTTGAACTCCACTGCCAATCCTGATCCGCAATTCGCAAAGGATGCAAGGGATCAGTGGCTAACGTTTCGTACAGTTGAACCGCACTATCTTCTACTGTACAGTTCAAAAATAAAAATGACAAGTTCAGCCTTCAAACTAAGCATGTCTACCAGTCAATGCATCTGGATTTATCCAGCAATACACCAAACACAACTCGAAAACCCCGAACGCCTATCACCCCTCTCCACAGAAATACACAAAGCAACGCTATTTTTTGGCTAATTTCTTCGAAGCTCAGCGCCAGAATTGTCACTCAATTGGCAGCATGAAGAGAATTGGTAGATCTTTTTTGAGGGGTGTTCACGGGCACCGCACACTGCTGCGTGCGGTGTGTGCGGTGCGTCCAGCAGGCGTGGGGGTAGGGGATGGGTAGGCGGCTCTGACGTCACGGCTGCGTGCGGTGGACGGTCCGCTGTGGCCAGTCCCGACCGGCCACAGCGGTCGCTGTGTGCGGTGACGGAAGGCTGACGTAGGGACGCAGTGGGCGGAGCTTGGAGGCTGTGTGCGGTCCGACCGCACACAGGGCCCGTGAACAGCCCTCTGGTAGCGAATCCGGTTGTGAAGCTAAATTTTCAGACAGCTGATCAAAAGTTGCTGAAGAAAAGACTTTGAATGAAACTTTTTCTTTTTTCTAAGACTTAAAACTAATAATTTATCGGATAATTTCAAGTTGATAGGGAAAAAGAGCAAAAAAAATTTAAACATCGTCTCCTTTATACTAGAGAAAGGGAACGATTCTAGTATATTGCTTCCATTTTCATAGCGCTGTTCGGCGGCCGGCTAGCGCGCTAGCCCGCGCACACATACGTGCACGTTGCCCCGGGCCCTGATCGGCGGCCGGCTAGTACTCTTGCCGGCGCTCACATACGTGCTGGTTGCCCCGGCAACGGGCTATTGACTAATGAGAAGCGAGGAAAGTGCAACGTCACTGCGATTTTTCATATACCTGTGCCCCCCGTAGCGCGCTGCTCATTGGTCAATAGCCCGTTGCCGGGGCAACGTGCACGTATGTGTGCGCGGGCTAGCGCGCTAGCCGGCCGCCGAACAGCGCTCCGGCAACGGGCTATTGACCAATGAGAAGCGCGCTACGGGGGGCACAGGTATATGAAAAATCGCAGTGACGTTGCACTTTCCTCGCTTCTCATTGGTCAATAGCCCGTTGCCGGGGCAACCAGCACGTATGTGAGCGCCGGCAAGAGTACTAGCCGGCCGCCGATCAGGGCTCATATCAACTTATTCGGGATCGTACCAAAGGGGTAGGTGGAAGATTTACGCTGCTAGCCTGGCGGTCATGCTGTGCTGTTTTTTTGTTGTGAAATAAAATTCCTTTTAATTTTTTTTAATTACAAATAAATAGTATTTTAAATTTATTTGTAGGTATTGTAACAAATCTTACAATCAAAAATGCAGTTTTAATACATAATTTGAATTAATTGTGTGTTTTGCAAATAATCCGCTAGAGGGTAAAATGTAAAATGAAATCGCCGTTTCGAGGGAATCGAGCAGCGTGCGCTGGTTGTTTATCATGCGTGGGCTTGCGTGTACTGTGAATTGATACCCGCTGGTCGGAGAGCACGTATCTTCAAAACCGGAATATATTGATGTTTACATTTATTCAATGTCCGAGCGTGTTTGCGTGTTTTTTTGCAGTCTCTTCATGATCATGTACCTACCTTGGTTGAGATGTCAACACCCACAGATCTCAACCTCCCATGGGTGACTGGAAGTTGATGGAATTCAAGTGGTGTTTGCAAATTAAAACGATATGTGCATGCTACATGTATATGCTGCATGCCTGTGTGTGCATGCTAACCAAAATATTTGATTTTCAGGCTTAATTTTCATTCTTATCGAAACATAAACCATCACGCTGCTTCATCATGAACGTCTCAAAGCTCAAGGTGAGTTTTGTTGGCTGGGGCCTGGCCTGGTATCATGAAATCATTTGTTCTGCATCATTTAAATGGAATATACCAAGTAACTCATGATACTGGATGAGTTTAGCCCACTCACATTATATAAAAATGGCCATCTGTTATTTCAGATTGCTGAGCTGAAGAAGGAGCTGAAGGAGCGTGGTCTGCCAACGAGCGGCAACAAGGGTGAGCTGGCCGCCCGACTGAGGGACGCGCTGACTGCTGAGGGTGCTGACGGCTCACACCAGGAGGACGACCTGGAGGCCAAGGAGTCTGAGCTGCTTGGGGAGGAGGAGGAGGAAGAGGATGCTACAAATGTGAGTCTGTCAGGTCCTCTGCTGGTATCAGGTTCACAGGGGTAGTGCTGCCTCATGCATTTTCTACCTGCCTGAAGATATTGTTTGATTTAGGCTTGTGAATAACTTCTTTCAATAGGAGAATGCCACTCTAGTTTACACCACAAAAATGTGTTATTAAATCGCTGTGTAAGGTTTTGTCAACTGTCATGCATGACTTTTCCTTATCACTTAATACCTTTATAATTAACGTTTAAGGCTTCATATGAATGGATTGACAGAACCGGGGCCTACATTATGATTAAACAGAGCTTAATATGATGTTACACAGGCCTTCAGTAGCTGTCTGACTCCTGACTCATGCTGTTTGATTAGGTAATGCCAGATAATGGGATAATTTATGTGCCAAAATCTAGTCGATCAAATTCAATCATGGCTAGTCACACTTAACGAATATAACTGGTTGGACTTGCTTTTTGTGGCTGCTTCCACCAACCGTAGACCATCCCTGTCAGGCATCTCTTATATCGAGGGCGACTTGTATCACCAGGAGACCGAGCGATGACGCTCTACGAACTTGGCCTACAGGACAGATGAGTATGATAATGATAATGGTAAATGGAATAATTAGACCCCTGATGTATCT